TGCTTCTGTCTGGTTCATTCTGGTTTTGCCTCTTTCCCACTGGTGAGGGACCGGTGCCCATCCGGCAGAGATGCTGTGCTACCGCAGGGATAGGATTTTCATTAAGAGCAGGGATAAAACCCTCCTGGCTCATACCAGGACTCCAGCCTCCAGAGGTGGCAGATAACTTGTCCTGGATAAAACAAATATTTCCATTGATCTTTTATTTTTTTTTTACCCCTGTGAACTATTTACTAGCTTTGGTAGAGAGTCATCCAGGAAAGTGGAGTTTTGCTCCAGCTTCCACCACTTCTTTAGCTGATCCCCATCCCCAGGGGTCTTTGAATTACATGGCCACCGTTCTCGGTGTTTGAGGCTAATTTTTTTTGATCTCGGCATCTCCTGGCTTGGAAAGCCTTCATCTCCAGCAGCAGGAGCAGGCGGAGCGAGGGTTGGGAGGACGATGCCCAGCGGGCCCACGGTTTTTTCGTGTCTTGCTGTGTTTTTGCGTGTTGTCGCAGCTTCTTGCCCATCCGCGGCTCTGCAGGGGGGGAGAGGCGTTTCCGAGCTGCTCGCCATGTTAAAGCCATTTTGCCTTGGTCCCCGTAAATTGCCTGTGAAAAACATGTCTTGAGTAATCTCCGCATCTCAGACAGTTTCTGCATCAAATATTCAAGAGCCTGATTCCGTTGGCTTTGATGGGTGGTGAGTTATTACCAGCGCAGGGCTTGGACTTCTCATAGGCACGTGGTGATGGGAACAATTAGCGCCCAATTAGGCACCTTGCATCTGTTCTGGGGATTTTTCTGCTTAAAAAAAATTGCAATGCACCAACAGGCTGGGGGTAGGGGGGAAAACAATCACAAAATCCTCTGCTGCGTGGGTAACTTTTAATGTCGGAGCGAGGGTGTCACGCTGGCAAGCTGCTGCTGAGTCCCTGCTCGGGGATGAGCGAGCAGCCGGGAGCTGACGGGTGGGCCCCGCCGTGATGCGCAGAGTCCCCGAAACAGGGGATGTAGGCACCGGGGTACGTGTGCACCGCGGGGACCCGCGTCCCTGGGAGGTGTCTGGGGTTGGGCAGGGAGAAGGAGAGGTGTTAAAGCCCTCGGATCCCTGGGGCTGCCTCCCCTTGGCGTCATCCTTGTCTTTACACCCAGAAATCAAGCGTGTTTTCTAGATGCTTCAACGAGAAGCAGCTTGGAAGTATCAAAAGCCAGAGCTTGGAGAGGGTTTGGTAGAGGATATATGGGTATATATCCCAATATCGAATATCAAAAGCCAGCACTTGGAGAGGGCTTGGTAGAGAATATATGTGTATATATATAATTAAGTTTTGTTAATCCTTTTTTCACTCTTTTTTTTTTTTTTTTTTTTTTTTGGGGGCTTTTTGGAAAAAAACAAC